GACTGTCGAACGCCCCGCCCGAAAACCAAATTGGGCGTCCGACAGATCGGGGCCCACCTCGTAGAGGTGCCGGACGATGCGGGCAGAGAGAACCCTCTCAAACAATTTACCCGCCTCGTCCAGCAGCACGATGGGCCTGTAGGCCGCGACCGAATCGGCAGGCTTCCTTAATAGGACCAGCTTCCCGCTCTTCCAGCACTCAGGGAAGCGTCCCGACGCCAAGCTAGCGTCGAACACCTCCCCGAGGCGGTCTGCCATGTGGTTGAGGGCTAGGGCCAGCACTCGGGCCGGTACCCTGTCTGGCCCAGGGGCCGTGTTCTTGGAACGGATCCGTAGAACAGCCGCCCCTACCTCCGAATCCCGGACGGGCGGAACATTATCCTTCCCGTGCTCCCCGTCGTCTCCGGCCAAGGAGGCCATCGCCGGGGGAGTGTGTTCCGCTCGTTGCGGGAAAAAGGCCCTCAACCACTTCTCGCAGGAAGCTGGGCTGGAGAGTCTCCGTAAGGGGTCGGGCCCGACGCGCGGAGCTTTTGTCGCACCGCGCGATAAGGGCGACCCCAGGGTCACGATCGAGACCCTCCAGCATCTCCTTTCTCTTTATCTCTTTGGCGCGGCTAATGGCCAGCTTCAGAGTTTTCCGCGCCTCTCGGTACTCCTCATGAAGCCGGTCCTCCTCACCGTCTCCACGGTGACGCCGCCGACTGCGCGTGTAGGACCTCCGGGCACGTGTACAGGCCCGCACGGAGGTCCGCCAGCTCCTGGGACCACCAGTAGACCTCCTTCCTTGGAAGCCGACGACCTCGAATGCGGGGCATGGCCGCATCGCAGACATGCGTAATCGCATCGCGAAAGCGACCAGCCCCCATGTCGACCTCCTCGGTCGGGGCCCGAGGAGACAGCCACGAGTGAATTATGGCTGCCTCCTCTAGTAGGTCCCAGTTCAGTCTGGCAACAGCCCACCGCGGAAAGCGGGATAAACGCCGCGCCACGTGACCCCTACTGGAGTCCTGGGTCCGGGAGAGCTCAAATCGGATATAAAGATGATCCGAGAGCGTCTCAACCTCTTCCAGGACACGCCAGTTCCTTACTCGTGCGGCGAGGACAGGGGTAGCGAACGAAAGGTCCACTATCGTCCCCCCTGCTGTCGCACGCACGTGTTTGGTGGAGCCTCTGTTGAGAAGACAGAGGCCCACCGAGGCCGCCCACTCCTCTACGGCCTCGCCCCTTGCGTCCGTCCCGGGGGAACCACACGCAGTGGATTTTGCGTTGAAGTCCCCCAGAACAAGGACGTGCCCAGACGCTAGTCGCCGCATCGAGGTCTCCAGGTTGTTGAGGAAAACCTCGAAGATCGCTCAAACTCCGGTTGGGGGAGAAATAAACCACCATATATGGTGATCCCCCCCCACTCGGCGGCAACATATCCAGTGCCCTTGTCTCTTAGCGACAAGGGCGGGGAATGAGCTGCCGTGGAACCGACGACCTGCCACGGAGCCGTCCCAGTCACCCATCCAGTTTGGACGGGGAGGGACAAAAATAGGGCTCCGCGACTACGGCAACACCTATCGACCACTGTGCCATGGTTAGCAGGAAGTGATCCTGCGCCGCGGCACAGTGGTTCAGGTTCGTCTGGACCAGGAGGCTGGAGAACCCGATCCATTACTGGGATCGTCCTCTACAGCCTCCTCCATGGGCGACGACGACGACGCACGAACTACATCGGAGGCAGCCTGGGTCGACTGGCTAGCCCCCGATGCTTGCTGAGAGTTGCGGGGAGGCTTGCAGCCCCCCTGCCCCATCTGGTGATTGACGGGCTTGTTACCCGCCGCACACACCGGGCAGAGAGGGGCGGCAGTGCATTCCACCGCCACATGCCCCGGTCGACCACAGCGGAAACATAGTCCGCTGCAGTCGAAGCAGCTTTGGCACTTGACGCGCTTGTGCCCCGATGCTAGGCATTTATAACACCTCATCGGTCTCGCCGCCAGGACTGTGATCCTAGCGCTCACGAAACCGATGAGCAGCCTGCCGGCGTCGGCCAATATTTTGGCCGACGCTACGGGACAGCTGACCCACACGGCGCCAAGCCCCCCTGGACCGGGGCGGATGGTGCCGACCCTGACGTTGTCCGCGCTGCACCCCGTCTTCGCCCGGATTACAGCGCGGACATCTTCGGCCGTGACAGAGTCGTCCAGGCTCGAGATGCGCAGCTCCGCGCACTTGGTAGGCCTGGCGATCTTGACACCATCTGTGGTCGCGAAGAAACCCCGCAGCCTCTCAGCGAAAGTGTCCGCCGTCTTAGCGCCTTCAGCCCCTGGGAACTCGAGAACTCGAGCTCCCGTCTGGGCGAGGCGCATCCTGACCCCCACCGTCCCAAAATCATTGGCGAGACTGTCCCGGGCCTTTTTAACTTGACACAAACCCTATACCAACCCGTCTGGCCAGCGTGGTGTAGTAGGCCAAAACCTCCTTTCTACATCATGATAATATAACTAATATGTAACGGCTGAGATCGTATCATTAATTTGTAATTTGCTGTTAAAGTTGCAAAAACGTAGAGTTTCGACGTTATGAACTTTCCTTGACTTTATACGAAGAAATGTACTATGAGAGAGTTGTAGATATTAAAAATATATACAAAGTGAGACTTAGTGCGTTACAATTGGTTATTTTGTATTTTTTTTAATTAACGATTATAAATGTAGGCTTACCAAACTGCGATAAATCATAGGCTCAGCAAACTTTGGTGAATCATAGGCTCTAATGTGTAGTATACGTGGTTTCTTTTTGTAAAAAGCCAGTTATTTATGTTAAAAGAGCAACATCTATCAAGTCGACTCCTTTTCCTGGTCTAATTACGCAGCGTAAAAACTTGGCTAAGGTCGGCAATTACAATGCACAGGACGAGGGGTTCTAGAAGCACATTATAAACTAAATTTTAAATAGGTTTTCCTCGCAGGTAATTATTCAAATAAAGTTGGAAGTAAATAGCGTATTAAATTCTAATAATTTGACTAGCTTTCTTAATTTTGCCCCACCCCTACGTCAATGCTGTGTACGCCCATGGATTAAGCCGATTTATTAATGTATTTTAATGTAGAATAGTAGAATTAATGTAGTTATTATTAGTTATTTGTTGCCGACAACAATCTCTACATCATGTGTGTTCAAAACAAGAACTCGAAATATCTGGCAAATCTGGAAATAACATGACGCGCTAGGTCGCTTAAATAATGAAGTGTGGTTCTGTCTTTAAAGATGAACGGATATCTTTGACTAGGGAGGGTAGAGGTAAGGAGAACCGACTCCGTGTGTGAAGTGTCCGTCAAAATACTTTAAATTGGGGGCGCTACAGTAGCATCAAGATATTTTTTTAAAGAAAGCGCAAAAGTTGTTAGAGTAGCACAGAGAAAAAACATTGAAAAAAAAAACATCGGCTTTAATAATTAGACAGTGTACTAGACTGCGAAAATAGTCGCTAGGTACCTACTGGTTGTCAATGATAATAAGTACCTAGTACAGTCTGTCTGTCAGGGATAACTTTATTCCCAGCCTTGTTGTTTTTTTTGTATGATACAGGCAGCAATAGTTTTATTCACATTGAGCCTAAAATTACACTTGATTTTTTTTGCAATTGTTAGCCTTTCAAATTATATATTTTCAAATAATACTATCCATCAGGTTACCCGTCTGCGTGTAGAGGGGTCTAACATAATCTATATATATTACTAAATAAAAATAATAGTTTTAGGGCAATCGATCCAAAAATATTTGAATTAACACTAGCTACATACATTATTAAGGATTTTTTCGGACAGAAACAAATACCAATATTATCATTAAAACGAGATGAAGGTTCACAAAAATCATTCCGTTCACAAATGATTATCGAGGTCATTCAAAACTGTAAGCACATAGTGTTTATTTGCCTGGAGGCAGTACTAATATCTCATAAACAGCCTCTAACAGTCTACTGCTGGACACAGGCCTCTCCTTAGAAAGGAGATTTTGGCCTACTATACCACGCTGGCACGCTGGGTTACAGATTTTGTTTCTAGTTTTCTTTCTCTTAGCAGTGCTATTGTCCTACATAGTTTGCTTCTTTAGTCGGCTCTTACGACACCCATGAGATTAATAAAGGTGGTGACAGTCCGTATTCTTATTCCGTTACTACACGGATAACATTGAGGCAATAATTAATAATATGTAAAAAATATAAGTGAAATATCAATAATATTTTATTGGATCAACAGGCAAAAAAGAATGGAGATTAATTATTTGAACGATTCTGTATAATTGCGATAGGTATTTTTAGGATTTTGTAGCTGAAGTGGCACCTTTCCAGCACCTTAAGTATTTTTGACTTGGTAACACTTTGTTGAAGTGTCTTTAGAAATGCCTCCCCCGCCCCGTTTCTCATAGTTAGACATCATTCTCCATTTCACAGCCGCCATTTTATTTGTATTGTATCGCCATTTCATTTCTGTCGTGAGATGGAGGATTGGACAAGAAAGTGAGACAGAAATAAAATATTCTGAACCCTTTGAAAACAAATATACCGTGAATTTCAGTTTTTGAAAGTAATGATATTGAATAGAAGTAGGTTAACAACAGTGAGTATATTTCTAGTGCTTTATTATCCCTTTTTTAATTTCTCATGACCGCGTCTCACCTCTTGATCGAGTACAATGGCGTCCGTTTACTCGTACCGCGTATGGATATTCCGTCATCCTTTTCTTGCATATATCGACTATTCAGGAGACACTGCCTTCCTAACGAATGATCTTTTTACGAGCAGAGTAGACTGATAAGAAATATTTCCCGTTACCTTCACACTTTGTGTTTCGTGTTTCTCTCTCGCGTACAATTAACCGCGCTTTTAAACGTAGAGTAGAAATGTTTTTATATGTATCTAAATTTGGTATTTTATCTTTTAGCAGTTATATACTATATAATGTGCATCTAAAAGGAATAGTGTGATGAAGTAATTATTTCTATCCGCTATGTTTACGACAAACACGGTACAAACCGGCACTGTGCCGACACTACAATATCAAGAGCATCCTCAGAAGTCACAGGGCAAAAATATCGAAAACGTTCAGCAAAAGAATGCACAACCTACTCAATCACAGCAGCAGGTAATACTTAAACTGAAGTACATAACAGAATGACAGTTCCAAAATGTTGACCTACCAGTATTTTATTTAAAATATTTATTACACATGTATACTTTCAGTATCAAAATAAAGTTTTTAAAGTTATAAGCCTGAAAGATACATAAATAAATTCCCTCATTTAAGAAATTAAAACTTTTTCTTTAGTATAACATTCATTAGGTTCTTGCGAATAAAGTTTTTATAGAATTTAAATATTCATTATACAAATGACTTGCTTTTATAAGAATCATGATTAATCTTGGTCCTTTACTTGTAATATTATTACTAATTTCTTACCAACAAATTAGAAGCACCACAATTATTAATTGATTTTTGCATGTTAGTTTTCTTAAAGTATAAAGAAGTTTTTATGGTATTTGTAGGTAATTAACATGATTAATTTAGTGTAATTGACATATATAAATATTTATTTAATTACTTACAGGAGTTCTCAGCATTCTGTTATGCAACCAATGTAAATATGATTGGTAAGATAGGTACAAGTGCTGCAAGCGGAACTGGTGGAGTGAACATAACTCAGCTTACAACAAGTGATGACAAAACATGTTATATAGCTCAACCGTTCTCATATGCAAATTATGCCCTCGTTAACCAGATGCAAATTGCTCCAAATGGGATACAAAATACAATATCAAATATCAGTTTTAAATGTGATGTCTGTGGTCTCATGTTTGGACACCTGACTCTACTTAATGCTCACAAAAGGATACATGCTCAGGATACAGGTAAATTTATTTGTTTTTTAAATTATATGTACTCAATTAACATAGATATAATTATGCTATGGCTAAAACATATAATCATCATTCTATTAGTAGTTTGACTGCATGGATGCCATAGCGGTCACTACTCTTTCTACTGTGCTATGTGTTGTGGGTACGATCCGCACATGGGACAACACTTTGTGTGATCCAAAAGTTGTTGTTCTGAGTCTGGCTGTTCTTTATGTCCGTTTCCTGTATGTTTGTAAAGTCCCCTGTGACACAGGATATATTCCTAATGTGGGAGCTGTCTCTTAAAAAAAATATATGTGGAGTAAATTATACACATTCACTTTAATATTTTACATTTGAGTATAAACAAAGAGATTAGGCTTGCGATTATAGATTGTATAGTCTATTGATTTATTGTGGATGTGTGTTTTTATTGCTTTTACAAAAAAAATTATAAAGTGTGAGGAGTTTAAAAAAAAATGAAGAGTTTAAATTATGCTTCCTCTACAAAACTTGTGCAATTTTAACAGACACTCATGGATTGTATACCATCACCAGGCTGAATTTTTAACCTATTCAGAATTATGGATGAAACCTATTTGTTCTGTTATTACAGATAGCAATATAACTGTGGTAGCCACAGGCGTAGGTACTGGTAATGATGTTGCCATGCCTCCACATATTCAGATACTTTCATCTGATCACAATGAGCAGCAACAACATCATGTACAAATTCAAGACAGTAAGTATCCTCTATGTAAATACCATAACTAATAAATAGTAAAAGGTAAAAGAAATTAAAAAATGTTTACTTGTAAATAAAAGAATGACTAAAATAACAAACTACACAGGACATAGCCAAGCTTATGTCCAGCAGTGGACTACTAGGCTGTTGATGATGATAACATGAATTAGTACTGTCTCTAGCAGTTCCATCTGATTTGTCTGTTGTCCATTCCTATATTGGAAAAGTATGTAGAGATTCTTTGTTATTGAATTAAAAACCAACTACAAGCTTATTTCATTTTTCAGCTAAACCAGTGATAATAGACAAAATCCAGAAATGTATCACTTGTGGTGGTCCCATTGCAAACAACCCAAAGAGAAAAGGACCTAAACTAATACGTTGCGAAAATTGTATCGCACAAGATTCTGTAGACCAGAGAAACAATCAAAGTGAGTATATCTTCATAGTAAATAGTTATCTCAAAACAGAAATAACATTATTTTATTGACGGACCTGTAAGTCTGGTGTTTGGTGACCTTTACTGCTAAACCAGTGGTTGTGGGTTCAACTCCCACCTGGGACAAGTAACTTATGTGATGATTACGACGATTTGTACTGTCTCTGGGTATAGTTTATCTAAAAATTATTATTGTATGTATTTAGAAATATTTAAGTATGTTTATCAGAAGTCTGGTTACCATAGCACAGGCTCTGCCTAGATTGGGATGAGACTGCCATATGTGAGATGTGATTATTATTGTATATTTTATCTTAAAATGTCTTGCTATATAGTTATAAGATCCTTCCATTAAAATTACACATAATTAATGGATACTCAATATGAATCCAAAAACATTTCTTTTTGTAGTTGCTAAGACTAGATTCAAGAAGCATATAGTCGAGTAGAATTAGGCTTCTATCAATGTTATTGGTTGTTTCTGTTTTGTTTTATGTATTTAAATTATGTTTATCAGTGAATGCTACACATGTATTTGTTGCATCAGAAGATAATTTAAAATTTGAAGTGAGTGAAGTCAGGAATGTGCAACCAGCGGCAGATCCTCTGTCTACAACACAGACTAATACACAGAACCAGCAACCACAAAAACCCTGTGAGTATGAACCGTCCAGTGCTAGTAGCTAATGCTTGAACCTAAGAAAAGAAAGTTAATATGTATTTTTTTTTTTAAAGCACTGGCCCTTTTCTCCTAATTTTAACACAACATTTCTACCTATATGTTCCTTAAATTCTATAGAATATTTTTAACATATTAAAGAGAGAATTAGCATTATCATTTCATTTTGTTTGTAGATTACAGTTATTAAAAAAAATATAACTCATTATATTTTGTTCTATTTCAAGTTCACATCAGTAGTGTTGAGATAGGTTTAGGGTATTTTTATTGAATGCATTATTTGGTTAAGCTTTTTATTTTATTTTTTTGTATCAAATGTTTTAAACAACATATTGTTTGCAGTACCTGGACATCATCCTGTGAAGAGGAGAAATTTAGCATCAGTAACAAAATGTCAGAACTGTAATGGTTCAGGCATTATCTTTGTAGGTAGCAATAAGAATAAATTGAATCAATCAAACGCAGACAAACCATTTCACTGTAATATATGTGGAGGGTCTTTTGCAAGATATTCATCATTATGGTCACACAAGAAGTTACATTCAGGTGAAAAGAATTTTAAATGTGGCATCTGTGGGATTGCATTTGCGAAAGCTGTATACCTCAAGAATCATTCTAGAATACACACAGGAGAAAAACCATACAGGTAATTATTTGAAGATTATCAATAAAAAGATAAATTGTGAAATTATTCAGTATTGTTTTTTAGTAGAACATACTAATTGGTTTAATGCTTTTAGAAAAGTTGTAATTCCTTTTTTTTTTAACTTGGGTTATGTGCTTGTTTTACTCTGCTTGCATATGTATATCTATCTTAAATATGCATCAACATTATTAATAGTCAATCTTATTCTTAGGATGTCTATCAATAACTAATTCAATTAAATTTAATTAGGTATTTGGTATTACACTACAAAATGGCAATTGTAAACCCCTCTTATTATTAATAATCTGTAATAAACTAATACTAATTTCAGCCTATATAAAAGCATAAAAAAATTATAAATAAACTGTTTTTAGTTGGCTTTCTATTGGATGTTTTGTCTAAAAGTCTTAAAGTAAAATTAATATGTTAACAGACATATTAATTCAACAAGTAGTTAAATTATTGATAACTTTAAGTTCTGTCAAATACAGGAGAAGGAAAATGTTCCATGTTTTTCATTATAGCATGAAAATTCATCAAACCATAGAAAAGATTTTCTCAACAAGTGGCTTTTATCTGAAGAAAATATGTTTCCAACATCATATCTATTTACAGATGTAACACATGTGGTATGCAGTTTTCTCAATCTCCACATTTAAAGAACCATGAAAGAACACATTCAGGGGAGAAACCATATGTTTGTGAAGTAAGTAATGAGATAAAATTAAATTAATAATAAATTATAAAATTATTTAGAGAATTCACGTAATATAGAAAGATTAGAATGAGCAGTCTTTTTGTGCTGCTTCTATACTCAGTCACAGTAAAATGCATAATATGAATATTTTAAAAATAATTTTGTCATTGAATGCAATTTGTGAAAACCAACATGAATCAAGATTCCACCCTCGATAACTGCCACTTTCAGCTTTCCAATTTTGTGTTAAAATATTTAAAGAAATTATCGTAGCATATGTATATTTAAATAATTATTATATATGATGGATGGCGTTGTGGTGAAAGCGGTTGCCCCGCCGCTTCCTAATACGCCGAGTGTTGTGGGTTCGATCCCCACATGGGACGACACTTTGTGTAATCCACAAATTGTCGTTCTGAGTCTGGGTGTTCTTTGTGTCTGTTTTATGTATGTTTGTAATGTCCTCTGCGACACAGGATATATTCCTAGTGCAGGAATTGTCTTTTATTTTTAAATAATTATTGTTAGAAAACCAACAATATTGTTCGTAACAAGTTCGCCCTCTCGTTACAAGTTTAAATGAAATATCTGTAAGTTGTAATTTATACAACTGCATCTATTTAACAGGTGTGTGACAAGGGCTTTGCAAGGCACGCGACATTATGGAATCATCGCCGTATTCACACTGGGGAGAAGCCTTACAAGTGAGTGCATTCATATGTATGGGAATAAGGGATGCAAGTAAGTTATATAGAACAGCTCATTGACTTACTAAAGCCAAAAATATTGTGTACTAATTTTATAATAATAATATTCTGAACATATTACAGAGTGCTGCCTAGACCCAAACTTAGCATAATTTGTACTTTGGAAACCGTCATTAGATACATTGATTTTTAATATGAACATTGTACAAATTAACTATTGTTATCGCTTTAAAACAAAAGAAACTTCTGTGTCAACGACAACTCATGGAAAACAATCACATTACAGGAATGGCAATAAAGCATACATGTGTATAATGTACATGGTCAGACGAGATTGGCGTGATTCGACGAAATGACGGTCATATTTCGTCGAATCACGCCTTCTTACATTTTATACTATATGTTTTAGGAACTTAACAATGACATGATTTGTTTTAAACAAAACAGATCAACAAAAACAACAATCAACTAAATAAAATTTAGTTCATTGTTGTTTTTGTTGATTATTACTCGTTGAGTTGATTTCTTATTTTATACTTTTATTTTTACCACGGTATAAGGTACATGAAACGTATGACATCCAATATATATACGTGTTAATTTATAAAATAGGTGTGAGACATGCGGATCGGCCTTCAGTCAAGCGGCTCACCTTAAGAACCACGCTAAAGTGCACTCCGGAGAGAAGCCGTTCAAATGCGACATTTGCACGGCCGCATTTGCTGATCGCTTTGCCCTGAAACGGCATCGGGGGATTCATGATAAATATGGTATAAAAAAATGTGTAATTTCTTTAGTCGGTTAAAAAGTTTTTAACACTAATAGTGATATGAAAAGCTTCTACATTGGCTACAAGAGGTTCAAAAACAAGAAATACATACCTTTTACAAACAGAACGTTCTGGAAATAAGGATTATTATGAGATGTACTGTCAAAGTTAGAACCTTCTTCTTTGTTTGTTCTTATTACTATAAGTGTTACTTCATTTTAAATTATTTCATTTAATTAGAGCTTGGTCCATGTATATTAGTGTGTTATTGTTGTTTATAATCATGTATAACTTCCACAGGACAAACGGCGCCTTTGCCCTGTAGAGTACAGTTAAACCAACAAGAGCAACAACAACAAACGCAACAGCAAAGCACTGAGCAACAAAACACGCAGCCTGCCGTGGAGGTGGAACACCACACTGAACAAACACTTTGAGCCTAGAGACTCTGTAGTGTTATACGATGACCCCACCACATTTCATATTTTTTGTAATCTACATGAATATAAGACCCGTGTCGACGCTCAAGAGACTGCTGAATTCTTCCGAATGGTTGAATATATTGTGATAATCATCCTATTAATACCTATAGTGTTACTAGAGCGGCACCATGAAACATTTCTTCCATATTTAATTCTAAGTTCGTGATTGAACACTGTCATAAAGGAATGCAACTTAGATCGTCACAGCGGCATAAATGACTTACTTATTTATGTGTAAACGTAGAACGCGAGTTAAAAAATGTGATATAGGTATGCATTCGTTTTTATTTAGAATTTGATTCACTAGGTTAATATCTTTTGAATACGTTATTATACAGCCTGTTAAAATAATAGGCTGTCTAAGCAAATAATCAGCTTTATTTTTGTCTGTATTTTCTGTTGTACAAGTTAATATAATGTAAATAAATAAAATCAGGTGCATCACATACATAAGTATATGTGATTTAGTATTTTAGCATATCAAATAAGAATTGTACGTCAATGAAATTTTGTTATTTAATGTGGATGGGATGAACTTACCAATATTAGAAGCAATAATTATTTATCTAGGTAAATGTCCTCGGCAATATATTAATCAGTATAGTATACAAGCTGTCTTATTTTTTGTTTTTATTTAGACATTAGTTATCCATTGATATTGTAGTAAGTACAGCTCATCCAGAAGCGTCCGCATCATAGTGATGTGTTTTGTAACTTACACCAGGAGTTTTCAATTATAAAATAGTAAAATTTTGTCTAGAATGGTTGTTTTTTTAATAATATTGCGTTTAAATAATTACACCTATCTGGCTTTCTCATATAGCGAACCTTTTACATCCTGACAGTTTTGGATATGTGCAACCAAGAAACCAACCACTGCCGAAGAGGGTGGTGACATTGACCTTGATTTGATTTTTTTACATTAAATAAAATTGCTCTTTCTCTCTATCATATTGATGATAGGTGACGGAATCAATAGGTCCATCTTGTAGTTTTTATATCCAGTGATTACAATACACACACACGTCCGTGTGGTGACGGATTAAGAATACAGAGTGTCACCACCCCTATTCATCCCGTGGGTGTCGTAAGAGCCGACTAAGGGAAAAAACTACGCAGGACAACAGCACTGCAGAGAGAAGGTAAAGGAAAAACTTGACACAAACCCTATACCAACCCTTCTGGCCAGCGTGGTATAGTAGGCCAAAACCTCCTTTCTAAGGAGAGGCTTATGTCCAGCAGTGGACTATTAAAGGCTGTTGATGATGATGATGATTACAATAATACGTTGTCAAAATTGCACGAGGGCCAAATTGCTGAAGGGACCTGTTACATTTTCAAAAAGAATAATTTTAAATCTATATATTTGGTTAATAGGTTGTGATGGAACTGGTATTGGCCCTTGAAATCCTTTATCAGTGAATGACCTAGTAGGTATCTATAAATAGTACCAGCAATTGTAGATCTGTAAATACCTATGATATACGTATAAGTAAGCTACAACGATTGTGTAGCTTGCTTATACGTGTAATGGTCAAAGTAGCTGCTTTGTTTACATGAGAGTGAAAGAAAGGAGCCATCTATAGTCAATAAAAGGATTAAGGTTTCATGTCGTGGATTTTAACCGAAAACTCAGATATTAAGGTTATTGGGATACTAACTGAAAAACAGACTTAATTAAGATTATTTATTTATCACGAAATAACTTACAGAATGTGATTACCTAACACGTGGTGAAAGGTTATTTTATAACTTATTGCTAAGGCCTACAAATTACTCGTAAATCCAGTTTTCGGCAGCTGATGCCCAACCGACAACCTCTTTCTCGGAAAACCACAATGCAATTTCTTTTTGAGCAGATTCAACACTGTCGGAACCATGAATTATGTTGCGGCCAACTTGAATGCAGAGATCGCCACGAATTGTGCCAGGTTGGGAGTCGGCGGGATTTGTAGCACCAAGCATTTGACGGCCGGTCTTAACCACATTGAGTCCTTCCCATACCATTGGTACTACTGGCCCAGAGCTCATGTATTTCACCAAACCGGGGAAGAATGGCTTCGACGATAGATCACTGTAGTGCTTCTGCAGCAATTCTTCGGAGGGCCAGACGAATTTAAGGCCGACCAATTTGAAACCTTTCTTCTCAAAACGCTCGATGATATTGCCAACGAGTCCACGTTGAACGCCATCAGGCTTAACCATGAGGAAAGTTCTTTCACGTTGTTCCGCCATTATTAATTTTAATATCGTAAGACCGGCGCGTCCGAGATGGATTATAAGGTGGACTAAAGTGGCGATCATACGAAATAGACGCTAGTATGGTATCACGTCAGCGAACGTCACGTATTCGTCACTGCCTTGCCCACAGATTATATTCACATATCGATAGATGTTTATACTAACTTAAAGCTACACACGGCCCTACCACGCTAGGAATACTACGCCACATAGTGCTTTGCAAATCCACACTTAGGCGCCTGAGGACTATCCGCACTGGCGGAAAAAAATTAGAACGAAAAAAATCTGTGATTTGATAAAATTGAGAGCGATACGGTGGCGATTTATTTCGGCAGAATTTTGCGGAACAAAAAGGCGCCTTGAAATATCGTTGTGCGGACGGGGCCTTAAATGTTGTAATAATATTGTATTTTTTCCTTAATACTTAATCTGTTGTCAGTACACTTTCAGTTTTACTAATGCAACTACCAACGTGATCATTCACTAGGCCACATGCTTGCATAAAAGCATAGCAAACCGTATTACCAACAAATTTAAAACTTCTTTTTTTCAGTGCATTGGCCAGAGCCAATGACGTTTTTGTTTCAGTAGGGATTTCATTTGAATGGGTCCAGTTATTCACCATGGGTTTGTGATTAACGAAACTCCAAATAAAATTAGAGAAATCTTCCCCATTCTTTTCCATATCTATATAGCATTTAGCATTATTTTTTATGGATTCTAGTTTACCTTTATGTCTCACAACTCCTTTCTCTAGCAAAATTTTATTCAAATCACTTTCTGTTAGTGTTAGAATTTTGTAAGGATCAAAGTTAAAGAAAAATGTCCGATAGTTCTCTCTTTTTTTTAGTATTGTTATCCACGATAGGCCAGCTTGTTGTCCTTCTAAGCATAGCATTTCAAACAAACGAAAATTATCACGTTCTGGCTTACCCCATTCTTCATCATGATACTTTATATACAATGGATCCTCTGTCACCCATGGGCACCGGATACATGTTTTCTCCTCCTGGTGATAATAAACAAATGGTGGAATAAAAACGAAACTTGTCAGTTTTTTAATTATCGTTATTAATGAAATGTCGCATTGATTTACTAACAAACTTTTTGAAAGCACTCTTACTACTGCACATCTTTATGTGGTCCTTGTTTAATTCTCCGGTATTGCAAGCCGCCTCAGTGCGACAGTCGTTTATAAATTATATATTTGTTGTTGTTATTATACGTTTATAAGTAAAAAAAGTAGAATATCCGAATAATTAGGAATTTAGCATTCGCTTTTAAGAAACATAAATAAAGTAGTGCTTAACTAATTTAATTCTTTCTGTTTAGATTACCGTACCATTTTATAGTGTTTAACACAACAACAGCACCCCACGCATTTTTACGATAAAATGATTTTTCTTTTTAAAGTTATAGAAAATTATTTTCTACTTTTCAACCGACTTCAAAAAAAGGAGGAGGTTCTCAATTCGACTGTATTTTTTAGTTTGTCTATTTACAAAAACCTGTTTTTCAGTTATTTTAAACTATAATTTTAATAACTTTTATTGGTTTCAACTATAGCTTGTTTATCTATGGTCGGAAGAGAAATCGTAGTTCTATTTTACTAATTTTTTTCATCTGTGGTAGGGTCCTTTTACTTACTGTTGTCATCGTTCTAGTTTTCTCCATTATCATCCATTATTTTGCTCCAAGTTACTCGTCTAGTTGTCGGACACGAAGTTTTGTGTCTTGAATTGCAGTGGAGAGAAATTGTAGAACAATTATTATTAACCTAAACGTGCTTAATTGTCGATGTAATCTCCAGGAATATTAATATATGTTTATTAGTACAATACATAATTCAAAAAGGCGTCATGAAAAGTTAACGATAAACCACAGATTAAAATAAATGTGACCTATTTATGATATTATCGTTAGAAATAAAACTTATATTTTCACCTAGCAACATCTGTAACTAAATCACTTCATGCTCGGTTCGGCCTCTCGCATATAGAGGTATTTATGCAAATAATTTTCTGTATTCTATCTATTCTAAATAGTTTATTTTGTTTTATTATTAGTACATACTGAAAAAAAAACAAATTTTACATATATTTTTTTTTAATTTCATAACAAAATAAAAAACACTTTAATTTACGATGAAGACTCCCACATCTCGTCACTAGAGCACCATTTTTTAGTTTCACTATCAGAATCGGTTCCTCAGCAGAGGAATTTTTTTCAGCCATGCTCAATAGAAATCAGCATTTCTAAGGCTTTTTTACCATGTGGTATGGATTTCTTTCCTGGTTTTTGTCGTATACTAGATATTAAGGGAACTGACCTGAGTATTTCACATATATTTTTAACTTTTAAAACAAATTATATAACATAATACTAAACTAAAATAACTCACTGATGTGGTTTATATCATTTTAATTACCATGCATTATCTTTAGAATATGATAAGAATGAAAAATGAAGGTAAGAGGACTGGACGGAAATGGCAAGAGGGATAAAACTTGTAATCAAGTATTATACTTCATTACAGTTTATAAGACAATAAAATTGTTAAATGTTAATTTACGTTACGTCATTTAGCCAAATTTATCTAATAATAGACATTTCTACACAGCTATAGACAATTTTGAAGGTTTTGAATGATGACAAGGGCATAAAGTCTACAAAAGGTGGTAGGAACACTAAAAATAAAGGTGTTAGAGCAAAAGTCTGCTAATTAACTTCTAACTATGGTCTGTTAGAATTGAATAATTATTTGGTGAAAAGCTATTTGAATTCGTTGTCTACAGTTTGTTTCTAGTTCTCATTGTTAGCGAAGTGATCATAATTGCAATAATATCACTTCACGACACAGTTAATATTGTCCCATGACAAAGGTCTCTCTATGATCTAATGATCTCTAATTGAATTGAGTTTTTAGGTCAATTAAAGATCAGGGTTAAAATAGTTCCACAAAAATATAAACTACAACATACATGATTGGCTTTCACTTCATCATCATCATCATCAACAGCCTTTACTAGTCCACTGCTGGACATAGGCCTCTCCTTAGAAATGAGGTTTTGGCCTACTATACCACGCTGGCCAGACGGGTTGGTATAGGGTTTGTTTCAAGTTTTCCTTCTCTTTGCATTGCTGTTGTCCTGCGTAGTTAGTTACTCCCTTAGTCGGCTCTTACGACACCCACGCGAGGAATGGGGCTGGTGACACTTTGTATTCTTAATCCGACACCACACGATTTTCATTTGCGCGCCTATATTTTGTACGGCAATGATATACAACCTGCTTTAGTACGTTTTACTTTATACTTTAATACTTAAAAAAAGAATAAATATATTACATTCTACTTTTAGTCATACAGACTGGGCGTATTTAAATTTATATATCCTGTACATATTATCCATTTAGGTCCACCATAAACACGAGTTATTTGAGACTGGTCGTTGCATCTATGTGGTTTGATATATCGTCTTGTCTGAGGTCCACTAATAACGCTATCGACGAACCCTACGTGGTCATTACCAATGGTGCCTTCTGATATTTGCTGTAAGAGTGGAATGTACTCTGGTTTCGTGAGTTCATTTGACATGCGCATCATCTGAAAAATTGATAAGATTATTAAGAAGTGTGAAATACATAATTTCAGTGAATCGTTATTAAGGATAACTGACATAAACTAGATAGGTACTACTAACTACTAGGTTACTCCATATAAAAGTAGATCGGTGAAGTTTTTTTAAACTTTCCCAGTCACTCCAGAGTCACCGTAGTTAGGCAGTAGGCAGTGTGGAGGACTATAGCTAATTATGTCACTACTACTTTGAAAGAAATTGATTTTTTCAGTACCAACCAAAAGGTCACCATGGTCATGTACCTTTTGCTAATATGAATAACACGCAGAGAAAAAAACAAAAAGCTATGTTCATCTTGGCAGAACATTCACCAAGGAGCTATGATGCGAAATGACCACGGCGCCAAGTTTTCTAGATTAACAATCTTCAATATCTAATTATTAGTCTTTATGTTCTCATAAGACATAGGTACAATATATTACAGAAGGACAAATGTTACAATCTATAGCAATTGCCCTTCTATTCTGGTTTAATAACAAATTATTTGTTAGAAACAGTTATATGTATATATAATATATGTTTTACTACATACCACTACTTTAAGTTGAATGTCGGACAAAGGTGTCGCTATAGGTCCTAATAACATCACACTGCTATTTGTACCGAGGCTGTCTGGATCCACAGATATTAGATCTCCTTCATTACCATTACTTTTAATTTCATCATTTAAGACTAGGAACATGTGTTCATTCGGCATTGTTGTTTCTGTGTTCTTTACTTCTGATAGACGAGTCTTACCAGTCAATCCTTGAGGTAAAATATTGTTTAGCAATCCTTTCAGTTTCAATTTTGATGTTTCGTTATTTTTTGGCGACTTACTCCTTTTGCAACAAAGCGATTTCAGTTGAGCTACTAGAACATCAAATAATAGTTCTTTCTTTTCATCTTCATCTATTGCTTTATTTTGCGGTTGTGCCTCAGACGGACGACTATAAAGTAAATTATTTAATTTTTGTACAGCAGAATATTCTATTCCTGAGACTTTTGGTGTTGCGAAGGGATCAACTTCTTTATTTTCCAATCTAAAAAATGCGGGTTGCGGTATTCCTTTGTCTGATGCTGTCTGAAATCTTTTTTTCTTAAGATTCGCAAGTAGATTTGCATTTGGAACAGTTACAGAGCTCTTTGATACTGGTCTCAAATCAAGAGCTTGGTCGTAGTTAGAAGTACTTATTGGACTTGAAGTAATTTTCACTAACTCTCTTATATCATATTCATTCTTGTTTGGTTGTTCGCTAAGTAGCTTTATCAGATCTTCATCAGATAACTTTGAAAGTAAATACGTTGCGTCACTATCTGCAACAACAACCTTATTTAAAAAGTTTTCAGTTGCTTGCTTATTTTGTGTACAGAATATTTTAGGATAATCTATATAAATAAATAAAATTGAGGTGTCTGTTTGTAATGTCAAAATTATAGGTTTTTGCGTTGTTTGCACGTTAGACAGACAGACAAAAAAAAACTGATTTTTAGGCATAGGGCCTAAAAATTCAGTTTTTTTTTGTCTGTCTGTCTGTTTGTTCCAGGTAATCTTCTAAACGGCTGGACCGATTTCGATAATATTTTACTACCTGTAGCTGGTAGCTGTCTACAGGGTTTTTCCTCTCAGAAAAATCCTTTAAAATTTTGCCCAGTCCGGACATCGAACCCACTAAGGCAGTGCTTTTTAAATTCCACGCGAACGAAGTCGCGGGTACTAGCTAGTCTTTTAATAAAATCCGATCTGTGTAATCCTGTCAATAAATCATACTATTACAGCATTATTTAGGGACAGTGCTATCATACGGATATTTCTCTTCACACAATAAAAACTTATTTATTTATTCATACTTCCTGCAAAATTTATTGCATAAGGTGGACTTTATGCAATAGGCAAACTTTTCCAGTCAAACCTTTGGGTGTTGCAGAGCTGAGTGTGAAAATTCTAAATAAATATATATTAGATATGCATACATACATCTTTTACTCCCCTCCCCACGCAATAGGTTGGGAATAAGGCGGGGTAGTTGATCTCCGATAACCATACTATATTAGTGGAAATATTGCTTAACTTTAAGTTAGGTACTAAGTTAATCAAGAAGCCTTAAGTCACTGGGAAAATCCTAAGCCAAAGCGAATATAAGGTGATGATTGGTGAGAATCCGGCCGGGAAAGATTAATAAATATACTTGGTATTTACTTACCAGCACTTTTAATTATAGGCCCTTTTGACTTTTTCTTTTCCACAGGTAAATACCCCTTAGCCACTATATAATCTGTAACTTCTTGTTCCGTGTTACTGTTTATTGAAAATAGGGGATTGTTGCTTAATAACGACATCGATAACACAGATTGGACCTGAAAAAACTTACATTTTCATTAATTAAACTTTTTTTCATACCTACTTACTCGACGTCTCGAACACAATACATACAGTAGTCGCTTTTTCTGGCTTACTTCGTAATATTATTAGAAATTAGCTTATAATATGTACCTTTAGGTACATTTGTGTCAATGCATGTACTACCTCCTACCTACTTCTATTATGAAGCATCTCAGTGGGAGCAGAGCGTACGTATGTGGATGTAAAATTTAACACTCACTTTAGAACGCAATTCCCTTATAAGCGTGCATGCAGATGCAGAGCATGCCCTGGCTTATTTAAAAAAAAAAACGCTTCTTGCAATGCCGCCTTTAGTTGAGGTCTGTGTTGCGAAGCAATGAAGGGTACGAGGCGCAAAGTGTGTAGGTACTCGTATCCGCCTCTAATTGCTCACTAATGTTGAACCTTATACAACGTAATTATACTATTTATATACGTACCGAATATAAGCAAAATATTAATTTACAATAACACACATAAGGAATCATGTTTGAACGATACAATCTTATACTTCAATGCAAATTAAATTGGCTGGTTGATTGTTCAATAGCTTCTTTCTTATAAAAAGTAGTTGGCTATCTCGTTTCTTGTTTACAGAATTAACAATGCACAAGAGCTCGTTAAATAGTTTACGATCATGATAAGAAGATTCAGCTGAGTTAACATTTTCAAGGCGTGTCAATTGAAGTTATGAAAAGTCATCGTGGTTTTTTGTTTAACTTCTAAACTTTAATTCAACACAATATACGTAGATATCGTTTTTAAAATTAAATAATGTTAATTTTATTGTGTCTGACTGTGTAATTTGCAGTGTCTTTTAAGTATAGGATCTAAGTATTTAGTATAAATTCTGCTATTTTTCTTATTCAATTTTAAATACGTAAGCGTGTAATTCGTAATTACAAATTAGTAATTGTTTTACATGGACCTGTTTTAAAAGTATCTTTGTAATCAGTCTATAAGTTTTGTTTAAAACCAATGGAATAAAATAAATTGTGCCAGTTGAAAAAGTTTCCTTAAGATGTCATCTGCAAGGATGGCGTAGTGGTTTAAGCGGACGCCACGCCGCTTCCGTTGTGGGTTCAATCCCCCCATGGGACCATACTTTGTGTGGTCCGAAAATTGACTTTCTGAGTTTGGTTGTTCTTTGTCTCCGTTTCATGTATATTTCTAAAGTCCTCCGCGAAACAGGATATATTCCTAGTACGAGAGGTGTCTTGTTTAAACGAAAAAAAAATTGTTCACACTTATCTGTCCTTAACCGGTGGAGTTCTGTCCTTGGCTACGTAGTTGTACAAGTTCTATACATCCCTTACAATAATAACAGATCCGCGCCTAAAATCGGAAAATGATAATACAAGCGAAGAACGCCTATTTACAATCTTTATAATAATCAAAATCATTCATTTAATCTAAGTAGAACATAATCTGTATATACACACACACATATATATATAAGTTTTTTAATGCGCACATTTGTTACATTCAATATATTTTCAAAGGATCTTTGGTTTTCGTGCCAGACATGAAAAACTGGTTTTTACCTATTGGAATATAAGTAAAAGCCCCCTAGTAATGTAAGATGACTTTTAATGAGCAATAAAGAAAAGTCCTACGCATGACGCAATACAGTATTTTTCGAGAACGAAGACGCCACAACTATACGTCTACCACTAGAGTAAGCACAGGGTATATATTTATTTATTGCAATCAATTCCTAATAGTTGAATCTTTAATTTAAAAAAAATTACAATGTAATGGTAATGTGAATTTGTAACGTTTACTATTTTCGCGTTTCGTTTCACATGAAATGCCTAACCTGTCAAGTGTCACTTTAATATGATAAATGTCATTAGTAACTCTTTGTAGCTATCAAATTGGATTGTGTTGTTTATGTTAAACTTCAATTTTTGTTGTGTTAGTCTTCTAAGTAACCTAAAAGCATTGATTGTCTTAACACTAATAAAATGAACATACCATTTCCAATGTTAACTCCACGTTTAGTGGACCCATCTTGGTTCAACGCAGATAGCCCCTGTGATGAAGAAACGGAATTAACTGCTCTTGAACAAGCAAATCAACATTGGGTCAGTAATTTTCAAAAGTACTCATAAGTTCGCAACGAATATAAACTATCAAACTTGGCCGTACTTTATTTAATTTAATCTCCATGAAATCTGTTGTAGCAGTAAAAATCTTTTATTATTACTATTACAGTTAAACTCAATAGGCCAACAGTACATGAAGCGTGCTCCACTCGGTAAAGCTGATCCCGAACCAATGGAGGAGGAAGCTGATACGGATGAAGAAGAAGGTATAGAATTATTTATTTATAGTAT